CACTGCACTACCGCTCCCCTAACCACTGCATTACCGCTCCCCCTAACCACTGCACTACCGCTCCCCCTAACCACTGCACTACCGCTCCCCCTAACCACTGCACTACCGCTCCCCTAACCACTACACTACCACTCCCCCTAACCACTGCACTACCGCTCCCCTAACCACTGCACTACCGCTCCCCTAACCACTGCACTACCGCTCCCCTAACCACTGCACTACCGCTCCCCCCAACCACTGCACTACCGCTCCCCTAACCACTGCACTACCGCTTCCCCTAACCACTGCACTACCGCTCCCCTAACCACTGCACTACCGCTCCCCCTAACCACTGCACAACCGCTCCCCCTAACCACTGCACTACCACTCCCCCTAACCACTGCACTACCGCTCCCCCTAACCACTGCACTACCGCTCCCCCTAACCACTGCACTACCGCTCCCCCTAACCACTGCACTACCGCTCCCCCTAACCACTGCACTACCGCGCCCCCTAACCACTGCACTACCGCTCCCCCTGACCACTGCACTACCGCCCCCCTAACCACTGCACTACCGCTCCCCTAACCACTGCACTACCGCTCCCCCTAACCACTGCACTACCGCTCCCCCCAACCACTGCACTACCGCTCCCCCCTAACCACTGCACTACCGCTTCCCCACTACACGACCGCTCACACGCGCGCGCGACACCACGGCCATTTGCCAAGAGGCCAGGGTGGCGTGTGGCGGCTTTGCTGTGCCACGTGGAGTGACTCAGCGCTGCTGACTTAAGAGGCGGCGGTGTCGGCTATCGGGTCACCTCTAATGTTGCTGAGCTTGAGAGGAGTTAAACGAGGTTGGCTCGATAGAATAATTTCCGGAGAGTCATTACAAAAAAACGCAGCAGAGTGCGCACACCGCGGGCAATTGTTGAAGGCGGACCAGACTGGTGAGATGTTAACTGCCTCGCCTGGTATACAGGAGGTTGTGGGTTCCATTCAGACCCTGACGCTGGCTGTATAATTAGAGTTTGTGGTGTCTCTCTGCCCGTGGTCGCGTGGATTTATCTCCGGTTCCTCCGGTTTTCCCCTCCACATTTAGAAACGTGCGTTTGGAGTATTTGGCTGCTAAGCATTTCCACGTGATAAGTCACTTTGTTGAGCTATGATTTGTGGCCAGGTCGCTTCTGAAAAAGAGCTATACAGCTCTTGGGCCCTGACCTGGTAAAATAAAAAAAATAGTTTAGTTTTTAGTTTAGACTGCTGCGGAAAGTGCGGTGAGCAAACACCTCAAGCGACAGGTCCGTGTGGTTAGCACCACATCTGGTTGTCTTTGTCTCATTAGTTATTCTATTTTATGTCCACTGCATCAGGTTCTCATTTAAGGCTCACTTGACCTAGGTGAGGTCCAGAACCGGTTCAGATATTCGCCACCGATCTTAGTGGCCAGGAATTCAAATCAGGCTGTCCGGGTTTGTAGCGCAGCACGCTACCCACTACAACCACCGCTCACCACAACAACCACCGCTCACCACAACCACCGCCGTTCACTACAACAACCACCGATCACCACAACAACCACCGCTCACCACAACAACCACTGCTCACCACAACAATCACCGCTCACCACAACAACCACCGCTCACCACAACCACCGCCGTTCACTACAACAACCACCGATCACCACAACAACCACCGCTCACCACAACAACCACCGCTCACCACAACAACCACCGCTCACCACAACAACCACCGCTCACCACAACCACCGCCGTTCACTACAACAACCACCGATCACCACAACAACCACCGTTCACCACAACAACCACCGCTCACCACAACAACCACCGCCGTTCACCACTAAGTGGCAGTGACGTCACCACGGCGCTTGTGCCATGCTAGGTGCACTTTGAGGCCACATGAAGTGTCCAAGGCCCACTGGCAGGAGGTCACGGAACAAACCCAGGTGCCATGGGTTGACTGAGATGCCTGACAGATGCACCAACTGTGCTCTCCACCGTGCCAACTTTATGCGTTTTAGTCGCCCGGTGCTCTGCTCGTTGTTGTGAGCGTCGCTCCTCTGCCCTCCGTTGTTGCTGGAGGGCGAATGCATCCAACTCCCCAGCAGCGTCCTTCACGAACCTCCTCCACAGACGCCGATATTGACACCGCTGTTACCAGTTATCGGCAAGCCCAATCAGCTCCACATCCTTCTGTACCGCGCCCGTTTAGCCCCATCTATCCGGCCAAACAGAAGCTGCTTGGGCACGCGGTGCTTGGGCATGCGGTGCCTGGGCATGCGGTGTCTGGGCATGCTGTCTACATGACCCAGCCAACGAGTTCCTCATACAATCCAGTCTGGTGAAAACCTAGGATGAATCGTAGGCAGGCTAGCCTGAATGTTTCCAACCGGCGCAGATATTACTTTGTAGGGCTCCATGTCTCACAAGCATAGAGAAGGAAGGGAGGGAATAACGGTGGCCGAGAAGACCGGGAGCTTTGTACGGAGCGACAGGCCAGGTAGCAATTTACACAGCGTTACGCAGCTGATGAAAAGATAATGCCGCTCGACTGATTCAGAGTGTGACCTCGGCTGCCAAACCGGAGCTGATCATAATCACACTGCCCAAGTGCAGACACTCTCCACTCTCTCCACAACTGCCCCATCACTCATGGGGAGTTGAGGGATGGGAGAATTTGATGACATAAAATACCCAGGCAGGTGCTTCATTTTTGTGGGGTTGATGATAAGGCCCTATCTATTAGTAACATGCTCCAGATTCACACACAAACAAATACAAAAATACCCCGTATAGCCTTAATAGACTGTAGGGGCAAGTGCTGTAAGCGAGCAGTTATGAAGGCCGGCACGGCACACGAGGGGGTGGGTAGCCAGCACCACGCCCGGCCGCCTTTGTCTCCCGAGTGGCGATGTTTACACACCGCACCAGGTACTCATTTGAGGCTGAGTTAACCTAGGGGGAGGCCCATGACCAATTCAGGTAATCATCACTGGTGTTGGCTATGAGCGGGAATTGAACTCGGGTCGCCGCAGCGCAGCGCGCTAACCGCTTTGCGTGCATTGTGCACATACAATACACACACACAGACATAAAATACACTCATACAACCACAAACACTGTTAACACACACGCCCCATACACCTGCTCATACACACACACACCTGTACACGTGTGCGCCACGCACCTGCCAGCACTTTTTTTGTGATTGTCAACAACGGAGAGCCCGGGGGGTGGGGGGAGAGGTTGGGGAGTAAAAGTTTGGAGAGAAACTTCAGAAGACTTCCCCCAAAAAAGCTGTTGGTGTAATTGTACGGTTACAGGCGCCGCGCGCGTGCAAGGCACACACCCTGACACACTCCCTGACACACTGACACACATTCAAGCGCGCACCTGGGCACACTCCACATCTTTTTTTTGTTACATACACACCTGGGCACACAAAGACAACAAGAACAAAAGATCCACCACCTCCCCCCCCCCCGCAATGGATCCGTCAACAGACTGTTGGGACAAGTGCTGTGAGCGAGCATCTCTTAAAGCTGGGATTTTCGCACACAAAGCGACGGTATGGCCCGCCCTACGAACCTCCCGACTTTGTCTTCCCAGTGATGATCTTTTTTTAATGCAGGCAATCGGGTCCTCATTTTAGGCCGAGTCAACCTACGGGAAGAATAGGAATGGTTCAGAAGTTTGTGACCGGTTGTTAGCCATGAGCGGTGATAGACATAAGACGTCCAGGTTCGTAACGCAGGATGCTAGCCACGACGCCACCACCACAAGCCACTGCTCACCACAAAGATGACGACCCCCCCCCCCCCCCCATAACAGACTGTAGGGGCAAGTGCTGTTAGCGAGCAGCACCCTATGAAGGCTGGCACGGCACACGAGGGGGTGGGTGGCCAGCACCACGCCTGGCCGCCTTTGTCTCCCTAGTGGTGTTATTTACACACCGCGCCGGTTGATAATCGTCAATGGTGTTGGCCACGAGCGGGAATTGAACGCGGGTCACTAGGCTCCTAGCGCAACGCACGGACCGCAACGCTACCGCTCCCCACAACAGCTCAACCACACGCACATAATTTACACACACACGGGCACACAGATTTACATGGCACAAACATAAAATAAATCCCCCATATAGCATTACTGCTAAGACAAGTGCTGATAGCGAGCACCTACGAAGGCCGGGAGCGTAAGCGACGCATGACGCAGGGAGGTCAAAACTAAAGCCTGCCCGCCTTTGTCTCCCCGGTGCTAATGCTCGCAACACAACAACCGAGAATGCTAATTTAGGCCGAGTCAACTTAGAGGTAGCCAGATCAGGCTTTCAGACGACAACTGATGTGCATCGTGAGCAACACCCTAGGCCCCACCTATCGGGTGTCTTCTTCAGCACCGCTCTCCGCTCGGTATTAATCACCGCGTCGTTTTCGTAGCCCTTGGGACATCCGCGGGTGCCTGCCTTGAATCGGTGCCCGAGTTTTAAGGTAACCCAAATAAAATGCCGCAGCAACTAAATAGGAAACTTGATTTGGCCTCTTGTACAATACGATGAGATATTTTTTCTTAAACCAGTTTCATGGCAGAAAAACAGTTGGGCGGTGTAACAGCAATGGGGGAAATTGTAGCACAAGCATAGTGTACGATATAGCACAGGTGCTCCCCAACTAGAGTGAAACTAGCCTCCACCTGAATTGCCTTTCCATGAATAATAGCCTTATCTTCAGTCTTGAGGCTGGTGGGTGCCCCTTTCACCAACCCTTACTGGTGAAGCATGGTCAATCAACCCCCATGACCGACACGGCGTGGGCTAGGCCTTGATCCAGCAGTGGATAAATGAAAGGCTGTACCTGCACAGTACATGGCTAAAAATAAGACAACTATGAATATGCATGCCCTGTTGTTGCTGTTGTTTTTAATGTGGGTTCTTTCCAGAATTCTGAGAGACAGTGAATATTCGGCAACTATGCGTGCACAATTTGAAGCATTCGCTCGACTTTCAACTTTGGGTTTTTTTTATTTGAACAAATCGACTCTGATGCAATGATGCCATGAGAGTGGCCAAATTAAATTGGCAGTCGAACCACATCGGTTAGCAAAGCCACGACCCGAGTGTAAAGAATAATGACTTTATTGATGAGATGTATTCTGCGGCAGAGGGCCTTACACAACTGGAAACGCTTTAAATCAGGATCTACTTTTTTTTTTACAATTTTAACACCACGCAACGTGGTCTCTACTGTCACTATCGGGACGTAATCAGACCCATTAATTCCGTGGAATCATGTTAAAATTCAGTTAAGTTGCCTTTACCCATTATATTTTTAAATACATACAGAAGACACACACGTACATAAATAGTGTAAGACTTTTAACGTGGTTCAATGAGTTGGGGTCAAATTGACTTGGAGGTGCCCTTTCAGGAGGCGTAGCTGGACTCAGCCCAAGTGGACTGGGAGTGCAGCGGGGCAGTCATGGTTGGTCCCGAGCCACGTTATACACAAACATGACCTCTGGAAACTAGAGCAAGGCGATTACCCTCATCTGCGTTTCTTTTCACGAACCTACACACCAGCGCGGCGAAGCATGATAAGACAACGGCCGTGACCGATACGGCATGGGGAGGCCTTCGTTCAGCAGCGGATTCACAAAAAGGGCTGCGATAAACATGATTACATTCCAAAAGCACTCGCACAACTTGGGACACCGTGAAGTGTTTTATACATTCGAGAGCTCCCGACAGACAGAGCCAAACGTCGCATGTTGCAACAACCTATAAGCAGCTCCGCTGGCTTCCAATTATCGTCAACGGGTCTGTCCTACGATACCACTCGACCGAGTTGTCATCTGGAGGCAGGCAAGTGGCCAACGCTACATCTCGTGAATATATACAGATTTAACAGAGATGGGCCACGTGACATTGTGCAAAAGAAACAAAATGCCACTCTTGTTTTCTTTGTGCGGTTGTTGCAGGTACCATTGAGACAAAATAACCACATTCCACTCGACTGGATTTTACCTCGACCAATTGACCAGTGATTGAACCAAGGCTTCTCAAAAGTGCTGGCTCAGTGTTCTGTCAAGACACAGCTTTAGTCCCCTGAGACACCAACCACCTCAGGGCATTTCATATCTGCAGACATCTGTCAAACACCGACAATGGGTCTGTCCATCCACGTGCACGTGTCTGCAGGTTAGCAACACCACCTGTAATCAATTTGTGGCTCAGCTGGTAGCAGCGTGTGCCGCTTGTGTGTGCATTGCACAAAGGGGTCTCGGCAAAATATTACAGACGCTCCGCAGGTGCGTGGAATTCTTGGAGATTTGGGGGAGGGGGGGGGGCGTTAGTAGGAATGTGGTTCTGTGATAAATGCGACAAGGGACAATGGGGGGGGGGGGCGGGAGATCACGGGGGTTCAGAGACCATTTAGCTGTGGTCAGGGGTTAAAGGTGAGGAGCAGTGACCCGGCTGTGAACTACGCTGGAGAAAACCGGAGGGTCGGAGCTATAGCAGCACAATTGTGCTCCCGCAAACGTGGAATCGAAAGGCCTCATTACCATTCGGGGGAAGACACGACTGCGTTACGAGAACTCGCGCGAGCCACGCAAAAAAATATAACGCGAGGGTCATATCCAGGGGGTGGTGGCGCGGTCTGGCTCGGGGAAACCTGGTGCGTGGAATTACAAGGAAAGCCCCCGTGCCCAATTTCTCCTTCTCTTCGCGACCCGCAGCAGCTGGGCCCCTGGTGCAGTGGCATCGCCTGCTATGCTCTGCTGAGGTATTTTACCACTCGCGCGTAAACCCTCAAGAAATCGTTAATACACAGGGCACGCTAAGGACACGAGCGTCCCCTAGTGACGAATGTTGATACTGGGTGCTGCCCCCCCCCCCCCCACAATCACACCCCCCACCCCCCCCCCGATCTGAGATTCCCCCCCTTTGAGGGGTGATCCGTTGCGTTGGCTCAGATCAATCGGCACAGGTACTGGAGCAAGGGTTGGGCATTTTAAGCTCTAACATTTCAAATGTGCATCATTCCACTTGACTTGGAATAGAATTTGGATTGATAAAGCTACGTAGTGGAGCAAATTCCGTTGTTGTACTATACTTCTACGCTGCTGGATCTGTGCTCTCCACCTTCGCCAGCATTGGGAAACATGAGAGGACAGTCAGAATGCAAGAATCAGGCAGGTTAAAAGTAATCGCGAAGTTCTCAATACTCTTACCATGCAGGGAATAAGAATAACGCCATTATTTAAAGATTCCCGTCCTCATCATGAACCTAACAGTTATAAACATGCAAATACCGTCGACAATAATCACCAATACACTCAATAGTCCGAGTGTGAGGGTTCTTGGTCACAGAAGCCGCACTCAAACCGCACTTGCCATCACCCACGGGGTCACCCGTCCCAGAGCAGCAAGAGTCTGTAAACAATCCGGCGTGTTGCTGCAAACACAACTCGACAAGTCCGGCTACGGCACTCAATGTCAAACTGGGCCCTTTACAGTCACACGAGGCGTTAAATTGCACAAGCTGCGCTTGGAACCGGTGAACCCGTCGACACGTTTTACTTAAGGGCCCTCTACGACTGTGCACTGGGAAGGGTGCACGTTAGTCACGTTGGTCACGTTGGTCACGTGCCACTCCGCCGTGGAGGTTCTTCAAATTGTAAGGCTCAGAACTACGAAAACTTGACAGAGGCAAGATACCTCTCTCATACCATGCGGCCCGTCCAGTGCCGTGCGATGAGAGCAAACAAGGCGCTAATTACTGGAAATATATGGATCATGGCAACAATCTGCCAACGTGGTTTGGGAATCCATAAGAGGTTTTTGGGTTAGATCGGGTATTAATAAATGTGTCGCTCAAACCACCACCACCCAACACAAACCTTACTAATTGGCTGTGTCAGGTGGTGGCGGGTTTAACGACACCTTTATATTTACGAAATGTAACCCAAAAAATCTCTATTATGGATAATATTGGTCGCGAAAGCCTATGTATTAAAATGGTTTGGGAAGTTGGGCACTGAGACCTCGGTTGTGAATTCCCCATTATAATTATGATCGTAAAATTCAACAGGAACTCAGCCGCCAGACGGTGCGCTGGTAAAATTGCACCACTCACAACACAATATCCGTACGCAAAAGATTGCATTTTTTTCACTTACAATGTTTAAATATCTTTTCCTGAATTCGGAGTCTTGGAAAGGTGAGTTTTACTCGCACCATGTATTCAGGGTGGCTCTCTGGCCTGTGCCAGGGCATGCTGGCCTGTGCCAGGGCATGCTGGCCTGTGCCAGGGCATGCTTCCTAGTGCGAATCGGCAAAGCTGCCAAACTGAGCCGGGCCACCGTCTGTGTCACTTGGGGCACCGGCTCGGTCGCGACAGATACTGCCGCCCGCCGCCGCACAATGCCTACAGCGCACCACGTTTGGGCGATTTTTCTCAGAAAGGTTCCATACACAGCTCCGTAAGGAACCAACGCGAGTCGCCCAGAGATTCTGTCGCAGACAAGCTGCGCCTGCGCGTGTGTGCACACCGACGCTTTGCTACGCATCCACGCGGCTGCGATGGATCAGCGCGTGAGAACATTTGTTTCCCGTTGGCAGCCGCGCATTCCAAGCGGCCACGTTTCGTACGGGTGTCCTCGTGACTTCGTGTATCCGTGGGGTTCGGTTAAAGACATCCTCTGCCACCTGGCTGCGGCTGCCCGATGGTGCATCGGCATTGTTCCACGCCCGTGTGTCCATGTCGCCATGGTGTGTACGTAACTCTACATCTGTGTGTTGCGGGAGGTGGTGTCGGATGTGGGGGGTTGTGGCGGGGATTATGAGAGGAGAGGGGCTTGCGGTGCTGCCGGATGTTACAGGAAGCCCGGGAAGAAGTGCTGGATGAGCATCATGGTGAGCACCAGCATCCCCGCACAGCACAGCAGCACTAGCCACACCGGCAGCATGGCTGAGACACAGCACACGGTCACACAGCTCAGTGAGATGATCAGGCACCGATCCCACAGTGCAGACCGTGCAAGACGCCACTGAGATTCATGAACAATGACGCAAAATTAATTGTACAATGGATACATTTCAAGATAAGTCTTGTAGCAGGCTGGAGCTGGTTCTCATATTAAATATTACAATTAAGTGACCACTCCAAGGGCAGTGGCTGCAAAATGTTATGACCTTTATCATTCCATGAACATTCACAATTCGGGTTTGTGATTATATTCAGGAATCAGTTAATTTCTGCTGTGGTGAATGTTGTGCCTTTGGTAGCCATATGAGTCACGTGAATCACTTACAGTCCATACAACACGCAATATTTACTATAATTATTCGAATAAATTAACTCCCCTTTGTCAATCCACTTCTATATGAAGGCCTCCCCATAAAATGTTGATCAGGCAGGTTGCTTGACTCGACTTCATCACACTGGTAAGTGTGGATTTGTAAAGAGGGGAAGGTAATCAGGCCCATTTCATATGTAACTTGCCACTGACGTTGGCCGTGGTCAACAACGGAACTCTTATTTGCCGTATGTAGACCTTATTTCGCACCGCACGTAGCCAATCGTGCTAATCGGAGGTGCGGGGTTCATCGTGCCAAGGTTTTGCCAGGTTTATCATGCAGTGCTCTCACCATCGCACCACCACTCCACCCTATACAAAATCATTGACCAATCGATGCTTCATCGCACGCCTACTCTCTTAGAAACTGAGAAATCGATCGTTGTCCTGGTCCCTGGAGTCCCCCTCCTCCTCCACCGGTGCCCCTACGTCCCTCTCATGCTGCTGCCCCCCCAATCCCCGCCTCCCACCGGCACTCACTGCGTCGAGGCAGCAGGTGCAGCTTGCAGCGGCTGTCCACGCCGACGCTCAGCACGGCAGCGTCGTTGTCTCCGCGCAGCGCCACGCCCCTGCCCGCCTTGTCGCCCACAAACGCCAGCTCCGTCACCACGATGCCGTGCGTCTCCCGCACGTAGTACGCCTGCTGCGCGACACGCGCGGCGAACGCGAGCTCCAGCGCGGTGCTCCCCACACCCCCCCCCAACCCCACCCCCGCCACCACGATACGCACAGACACGCGCTGGCTCAGTCACGACGGTATTCGTCGATGAAGATGATGATGATGATGTTGTTGTTGTTGCGGGTGACGATCATGCTCGTGAGATGCGCGCACCTTTGTCTATCTTCTAGGTACATTTGCGGCGCAGGCTTTCATATGAATATTAGTTGGTAGGTGTCAAAATGATCTGACTGGTTTATAAACAGCATTCGGTGTATGCGATTTTTTTTTTTACTTAAACTACTAGCATCCAATATGTGGATATAACAAGCCATCCAATACAGAACCCTCGAACATGTACCTTAGTTTGTTTTCAGTAATGTGGGGCAATTCTGCTGGATCCTAACAACCACAAATACATAGTTGCAGGTGAGAGGCTGGTGTACAAAGATGGCCCGGAGATTATAGTCCAGGTCGATGCGAGACAGCCGAGAGAAGGCAGTAACGTATCGTATTGCATTCTTCAATCCAGATCATCTCCTTGTCTGGATGGGCTCTCTCCGGTTTCTGTGGTTTCTTCCTCAGTGCCAAACACTCATTCGTGTAACTTACCAAACATCCCAATGCAGATCCCTATTGAAAAATGATCTCGAAATGTATTGAGGCTGGGTTATTAAAGAGCATTATTATTGGTATCTTTACTGAAGGCGAGTGGGGGCTGGTATGTTCCGGTTATGAATGACTCACCTGCAGGGAGAAGGCAATGTAAATGGCCACGGAACCCGTCACTGTGCCCAGTCCGAGGAACGTTCCCGACTCGCTGGACACAGACCAGAGGCGGGTGCACATAGGGCAACAGCCACGGTCAATTCATGTATTCATTTCCATTTAATACATAATCTAATCATATCCCTAATAACAGTGCTGGCTTCACCACCCCCATTGCGTGCCTGCTCACGAACAGAACTCGCACGAGCAGCCTACCCAGGTAAATTTAGGGAAGCAGATAGGCAACAAACGCCACGGTGGCGAGATGTTAACTACCTCGCCTGATATGCAGGAGATCGTGGGTTCAATCCCAACCCTGAAGCCTGTATATTTGGAGTATTGCGTGTCTCTCTCCCTGTGGCCTCGTGGGTTTTTCTCCGGGTCCTCTGGTTTTTTCCCTCCACATTTTGAAACATGCGTTTAGTGTATTTGGCTGCTATACATTTCCACTTTGTTGAGCTGTTATTTGTCGCCAGGTCACTTCTGAAAAAGAGCTGTACGGCTGTGGGCCGTACCTGGTAAAATAAAAATAGTTTACAGTTTATAAACCTTTCTCTGAATAAATTTAATTTTATGACGATTTAAATTCAATCGAGCACCTTTGTCACGTTTGTATTATCATTTTATTTGTTCCATTACCGACGTGCAATACGTGCTGTATATATCCCAAAAAACTGTATTCTACTTAGCTCTCAGATCGGAGACGACTGGTCACATTCCGTATGATTTTGTCCAAGGCAATAGGCTTGAATCTGCTTTTACAACAAGCTTTTTCTCTGCCTGTCTGACAATTCAATGCATGCATTGCGAGTGTAAGAAATAACATCTTAATCAATACATCAATGAACAGCTACACATGCGCAGGTGCCAAGATAAACCATTTCGGGTCTTAATTGATTGTTCACGCTTACGGTGGCTTTCAGACAGCATACATACATTTTTCGCCTCCCCCCTCCTCTTTTCCGAACATAGATGGACTCGTCCTTCTAAACAAACTGTCAAATCGCTATCCGTGGTGCCAACGTTTTTAAAAAGAAATAAAAACACCGCTCGAAAATAAATTAATAAATACAAACCGCCACTTCTTTCAAATGCTTCTTGCCGTTGGCTTTTTTTTCACACCTGATGATGACTGTGTTACAGTCGAAACGTCGTGAGAATTTTATTGTTTTTATATATATTTTATTATTTTATTGTTTCCCTTCAACGTAACTTTACCGAAAGAACCAAGGATATATAGCTACATGTGTGTCCACACGTGTGTCCGGGCGTCTGCGAGTCTGGCTCTTGCCCTCGGCCTCCTCGCACGTTTCTGAGCGTCCGTGCCCTCCGGCTCGAACCTCCGGTATTCGTACCTGACGGTGAAGGTGGACACGACCTCGGTGCCGCAGGGCGCGGTGAGGAGCGGCAGGAAGCTCTGCCCTTCCCACTTGGTGATGAAGCAGGGCGGTGGGCGGCGCTCGCGCTTGTGCGGGATGTGCACCGTGTAGAGACGCACCTTGTCGGGGCTATCGGCCACCTGCCCAAACCTGGAGACGCGCGCGGGAGGGCAGAGGAACGGCACGGCACAACCGCCGTCAGCGGCTCTGCCGACGATAGAACCGGCTTTACCGACAACAAGACCGCGGTCAATAGCCCGTGGTGGGATTAAAAAAGGATGTAACTCGCTAAAGAAAAGCCATGTCCTGGGTTTCCTCACACAAATGTGAAGCTTTATTAATGGGGAAACAGACTTTAAAGGTATGGACAGACACGTTGCTACAGCATCCTTGTGTCAATTAACCGCTGGATTAGGGCCTCCCCATGCTGTGCAGGCCATTGGGGTGTATTGTTACAATACCGCACACCGTACTGCATATAGTTTCAATATGATTTATAGTAATTGATGTGTAGGGGTGGCGCAGTAGTTAGTGCATTGCTCTATGAACCTGGCAGTTTGATTCCTAACCGAGGTTAACATAAGTGGCGAGTGATGTCTGAACCGGTCCTGGGCCACACCTAGGTTCACTGAGCAGTGGATTGACAAAGGCCTTTAAATTATCATTACAAAGTAAATGATAATAATGTATTCGAGCCAATATAGCCTCAATGAGGGTCCTTCATTTGGAGGTTTGGCCAACTCAAAACATTTTTGTTGTTCACAAACTAATCTTCTGGAAAGAATGGGTGGGGTTGGGTTCATGCTATTGACGTAACACGAAATGTTGGTGGTGGTGCGACCACATTGGGTGGCATGATGTCATTGCCGGGTTTGTGTGTGTATATATATGAAAAAAATATATACTTGTGGTCCTTTGTCAACCACCTGCTGAAGGCCACTCCACAACCTCGACTGTGACAGGGGCTGCTTGATCACACAGTGCTGGTCGGTGAATGGGCAGTGACTCGGTGGTTAGCGCGCTGCATAATGAACCCAGCAACTTGAGTTTGTTTCATGGTCACGACTACGATCTGCGAGTGGTAATATCTGAACGAGTCCGGATGTTAATATCATTGAGAATAGGCCGCTAATTTAAATAAACAGAAATGTGGCCAGATATGAATTTAAGTCTGCTCTAAGCTACATTCCTATCCTGCACCAATCCACCATTGTTAATCCCGCCAAGGCGCTGGTCCAGTGCTGAAAAGCATAACACAGCCAAATCCCAAATCTCATATTTAAATAGCTGACATGGACGTAGGCTCGGAGGCTGCCCGGCCCTTCCACGTGCGACCGGTGTAGGGACTTTTTGGTTCCAGTGGATGCGGCACCTGCAGGCACGGAAGCGGTAGGTCTTGTCCGGAACGTCGGGCTTGGCTTTATTCCAGTCGAGGCCAAGCATGAGCAGCCCCTTCTGCCAGACGCTGCACGAGAAGTCGCGCCCCACGGACACCAACTGCTCGCGCGCACCGCCACAGGACACACAGACACACATTGAGGCATGAGGGGGTGGTGTGACCAGCTACCACGCAAGGCCGCCTTTGTCTGCCCAATGCTGATTTAAAACTGCACCAGGTTTGCAATTAAGGGAGTCGACCTAGAGCAAGGGTGGCCAACCTGTAACAGACCAAGAGCCAAAGAGCACCCATGAGTTCTGCAAAGAGCCAAGTTTATATATAAGTGTATATATTAACAGTTTTCTGTATAGCACGGGAGACATTCATTATTCTTTGCTACTGTGACAGCACGTTCTACATTGTGCCTCTTCGGTAGAGCCCCACGTGGTGGATTAAAGAGCTGCATGCGGCTCGGGAGATGCCAGTTGGCCACCGCTGACCTAGAGGAAGTCCTGGACTGATTCAGATTACTTGGCACTCACGTCAGCCATGATCCGGAATTGAAATCAAGCCGCTGGGTTTGTAGTGAAATGCACTAACCACTACGCTATCGCTCCCGACGTTCACACACACATGCGCAGGTGCCAAGATACAGAAACACACACAGACATCATCAGCGACGGTCTATCCACGGGATGCACAACTCCGGTCATCAAGGGCCACAGTATATTCCGTACACTTATTGCAACGGAGCTAATTGAGTTATATAATCCTTGATTGAACTAAACATTTCTCAGTAGGACTATTTCATTGTTTTCAGCTGTTAAGCGGACAGGGATTTAAAGTCATCTGTAAAACCTGCAGAACTGCGGCGCTAGTCGACAGGAGATGTGAAAACCTTGTCCATCTGACGCTAAATGCAGGCGTCCCCATTCCATTGTGATCTGTCATAGTCCTGAAATGCCACAATCCATCACGCTCCTGTCTATGAACTGAACCTGGTTTCATCGCTACACCTCTGCAGATATTGTCCTCTCAGGCATGTTCTCTCCTTTGGCTGCCATTCTGTCACGAGACTCATCCGTTGGCATCAATGTGTCCTGCTCCAGCCCACTTAGATTTCTCAACAACGCCCACAATGTGCATAACCCAGAAATAACAGAACGTGCGACAGGTACTATAGCCCCACCGTGTTGCTGGGTCCAAAATCCAGGTCTTCCACCTCATCCTTGTGAGCCTCGATGTCATGCAGGAGCTTCATGTCGGGGAACTGCACAAGCACAGCACAGCGGCACGTTAAGCATCGGAGAAGCGCAAACGCCGCCTGCTCGACGCACACGGCAACGAACAACCGTCCACCCCCACCGCGTGAGGATGTACCTCCCATACGCGCAGGTGCCCGTCCACACCGCCCGTGGCGAGCAGTGTCGAGTCGGCATTGAAGCGGACCGACTTCTGCACGCTGTCGGCGCTCAAGTCGGTCTGCACCACGTGCAGGCTCTCCAGTTGGAGCTGCGGCGTCTCGTTCCGCGTGTCGCCCTCCGCCTTGCTCTCCGCCTTGCCCTCCGCCTTGCCCTCCGCCTTGCCCTCCGCCTTGCCCTCCGCCTTGCCCTCCGCCTTGCCCTCCGCTTTTCCCTTTTTCCTCTGCCGCCCCTTTTCTGTGTAAGGCATTCAAACGAAGCAAGTCAGGAAAGATCACGCATCGGCGTGCATTTCGTAACACGTGCCAACGTGCGTTTTCTCGGAAGCATTTTATTTGATGAGCAGCACGGAAGCCGACGGACATCTGTTTAGGCAAAATGCGTTTACAGATTTGAAAATAGTCCTTTTCTGCTCTGGTTTGTGTCTCCTAGGTTAGGGCACCCATTCGATCAAATTCTCCAGTTTTGAACAGGGTTTAAGTCCTGCCGGGCAACACAACTTTACACCAATTTGGTCCATATTGAGTCATCATGCACCCCTGCAGTGAAGGACAGATTGAATGACGGACTCTAACAGAGCTCTGCATGAACCCTTTCAACCTTGGTTGGAAAGCATTTCATGCTCGACCGCTTTAAGCAATGTGGTTTTCCAGGAGGTGTGCTGTGCTGTTTATTGTTATCATAGCATGGAGCGAGATATAGAAATAAATGGTTTCTATGTTTAGTAGGCATGTAATTGTTTCATCCCCGTGGTGAATTCTTAGCATAGCTAAAGCAAATTCAAGTTCCAAAAATAAGAAGCGATGATTATATGTCGTACCATAAATGTGGCAATCGATATAAATTGATTAAACGATTCATCGTTATATGGTCTAAGGTTGAGGAAACAGACCTCTCCTTTGTCACGTGACTGTATTTAGGAGAAAATGATGCTCCATCTATGAGGAGGCCCTCATCCAGCTGTGGATTGATGAAAGATCTGTGCGGGTCCATGCACGCACCCTAGGCCTTGAGAAAGTAACATGAATTCGTGAAGACGGTGAATTGTCGCACTCCTTCTTGCCCCCGTTATCCTCCATGTCGCCCGCCCCCCCCCCCCCCTCCCGGGGAGAGACACCCACCGGCGGATGGCGCTGCGCGGCTCTCGGTGGGCACCTCGTCATAACGGAGGACGTGGCAGTCCCCGTCCATGCCGACAGCCAGCACGCCGCTCTCCAACGCGGTCGCACCGCCCTACTCGCCACCGCCACAAACACCACCACAGCGCCATTCACAACTAGCAGCGGCAGGAGCGCTAACGTCATCAACAATAACCATCGCTAGGGATGTGAAGGTTCGCTCGCTCCAGCGATGCGACGACTTGTCACGATTGGGCATCGTGGTTCGATTCAACAGCCCGATACTTTTATTCCTTCTGGTATTTGCCGTCTCGTTTTGTACAGTTGTATATGTCCCATGAGCCTAAACGACCAAATGTATGTTTGTTGAACTTCTTTCGCATCGTATGGAGCCAACCGTGCTAATGGGAAAGTGCGGGGGAAGGACAACAAACGAAACACAAAAAGCAGTTCTAAAGAAATGAGTTTTCAATCTAAATTTAAAAGTGCATAGCTCCAGTGGCTTAAATCATCCGCAATGCGACCAAAGTCGTCCGATTTCGACAGCCAAGCAACGTTGGGCCTGGATAGTGCTTGGATTGGTGGCCAACATCATCGACAGTAGAGGCCAGAGCACCAACATCCATTGTTGTTGGCTACGTACGGTGAGAAGTTCAACATACACACATACATTGTACTACTGTTGCATAACCAACGCTCTCCTTGCCTTCAATCTGCACTAACCAGCACGGTGAAGTATGGTCAAATAGCCACCATAACCCACATGGGGTGGGGGTGGTCTTCATCCAGCAGTAGATTGACAAAGAGGCTGTACACGTGCGTGTCGCCTCTTATTACACAGATTAACTCTTCGTGAAGCTCAAACAGAACTGAATGATGACCAATTTAGAGGCCACCCAACCATATGAGAGCAGATTAATATTAAGCACCATTATGCCTGGCAATTTCTACTTATTCTACCATTGATGAAGTGGAAACTGATGCATTTATCCACGCTCTAACAAATGCCTTCTTATATTTACAGTATATACATAAAAAAAATATAAACGATTTGTAATGATAGAACAGGCACACTGAGAGAACATGCAGTAACAAAAAAACAAATCAGAAAGGAGAAACTTGATCATGTAGGTTATTGCAGTCAATTGTCTCTCGAGCTTTCGCCACCATGTTCTTCTGCAGGCATCTTCAGGATTTGCACGAAGTAGCATGTGGCAAAAGCTTGAGAGAACACATGCTCAACAAGAGACCTAAAAAGGCAGATCATAGTTGTACAAAGCGACTCGCCTTCTCCCCTGCCTTCTTGCCCTGGGCCTTGGCATTGTTGGCAGCAGCGTGAGCAGCGATGTTTGCCTTGGCGATGGAGGGCGGTAGGGGCGCGCATGCCGCCAGGTTCATGACGGCGCGCGTTTGCGTGTCGTGGCTGCAGAGGAGCGAGGCCGAGGGTCGCCCCGAGATCCATTCCAAGCGCAGGAAGTGCTGTTGGCACAGGCCACGGGAAGCGTCAACAACCCCGTCTTCTTTGCTGCACCGGCATCTGGTGCCCCCTTAGCCCTTGGCGCATCTGAGCTAAGCCAGCGTGGGTCTTTCCACAGGTTATTTGCAAAGCTGAACCAGAACCAAACCGTATGATGCTGACCTCACAACACACCTTTAATTTGGCTTGAGGCCAAGCAGATCTACGCCCGGGGTAAACGGCGTATTCATTGCATGTCAGTAGAACTCACAGCATCACTTTGTGATCTACGTGCATCACGACTTATTCAGTGCATGTGATGCCAGCCGCATGGCTTAGATTCTGCGATGGAAAATCAACCTGGCACTATCCCAAGCCGTTCTGGGGCTGGCTTCGCATGGCCACGGCATGCCTGGGTTCTGTAGTGGAAAAAGAGGCACAAGTCATCTCCTGATTGCACTTCCTTACAGCTACTTCATAATTCAGTATCTTACAGCCAATTTAGCATCCCAGATTCTGAACCCAGCACCTTGCAGTCAATCTATATCACCAGAGCTCCTTAAAGCCACCTCTTTATGTCAGCATTGCTCGAACAATAATCTTTTTACTTTTCTTTTCCTCCTGCCATAGCTGGTGGCAAACTCAGTTGTGAAAGCACAAACCTGGAATTACATTTCAGAATGCACCTGCCTTTTGGGGTAACAGATCAATTCAGAGTAAGAAAGGGCAAGAGGACTTTTGCTCAACATGAACATGCAATGAACATAAGGCCAAAACAAAACCCGCAATTACGTGAATAATTTTCAGAGCAGCTCTATCGTAAAAGGATTGTATTTAGTAAAAACGACCCCACAATACGACATACATCTGAAATCACAGGTGATGGCAGTCAATCAAGTGCTCACAAGATGTAGGTTTTGGGCTACACCTGATAGATGTAATTAGGTTACTGAGAATTAGGTTACTCTATAAAAAGACATCAAGCTATGACCCAATAGCAGAGCCACTAAATAAAATCCTCACAAAGCCATCAAAAGTGGTTTACCGCAGGCTTGACCCACTTAATGCCACAGTAGGCAGAAACCACTATGCTGAAGGATTTTCCACCAATATGTATAAATTAACTTCTGTGTTAAATAGTATTACTCCACACTCACAAAGGAAATGTATACCAGATTAAAAACGTCACTATGTTCAAAGAGATTATGCCAGTCAAATAAATATTTTACTAAAGAGCTCAGAATAGTCTGCAAGACTGAATGTCTGACTTTAGTAGATTTCACAAAGGCATTCCACTCGGTGTCCCATTAAATTATTGATCTCACGAATGCCTGAAAACATCGGCAAAATACATATGGACATGCACGAGCAGGTGGAGTGTGTTTGACGGATATAATGAAAGGACAGAGGCAAATTCTATTATACGTACACATGGGCTATTGCAAGGAGATGCTGCATTTCCAATACTCTTCATAATACTAAAGGTTACAATATAAATCTATATTCTTGGTTCTTTCGGTAAAGTCACGTAGAAGGGAAAAAATAAAATAATAAAAATATAAAACAATAAAATTTTCACGACGTTTCGAATGCAACACAAGCAATCATCATCAGGTGTGAAAACCACAGCAAGAAAATTTTGAAAAAAGTGGCGGTTTTTTTACGTTAGCACCACGGAGAGCGATTTGGCAGTTATTTATATTTTTATTATTTCATTGTTTCCCTCCTACGTGACTTTACCGAAATAACCAAGAATGAATCCCTGCAGTCACGAAAGCTTTAAATTCAAAATATAAATCTAGTTTTAGAATCAGAGAAACCCACATAAATCGCTGATGGTGATTATACTACATTGTTAAGCGTCAAGAGTGTAATATGGATATAAACGTTATTGGGTGTGCGTATACTGGACTATATTTATCATCTTTGTATGGATAGTGTATGGTATTGAGCCACCATCACTAGCCATGATCGATCCACAGCAGGATGAAGCGCTCCCCCAACCGTCATGGTTTAGTGATACATGAATGCGTGTAGCTCCTGCACACGAGGTCATTTCACTGCTCCGTCTCTGCGTTGGCCGTGCTCTCGTTTGCGTTCTCTCCTTTGGCTACAACGCTGAAGTTGTCGGCTTAAATTGCCAAGCGGGTGAATCAAAATCACAGCCTTTAGTTAGTGGCTTATTTGCCGACCATATTCTTCAACTTCAACTACGGGGGGGCCGGTCACATGGTCCAAAGGAGCTCTCGGGAACCTTCGAGAAGGAGCTCGAGAGGCCTGGAAGGTGGGCGGGGCTAAGGGCGGAGCCAGCTCCAGCCCGGGAGCATATAATGAGGGCTCCGTGAGGAGCTCGGGGTCCTTCAAGCGTTGGTGTTGGAAGATCCACGCCGGGGAGGAAGCCTCTAGCCACGCGGTCCGGGACCCAGCTTGTGGTCCGGACCGGGATCGCGAACCGTGTCTAGTCCTGCTGTAGCGTGGCTAGATGAGCATTGGAGACCCGAGCTGAGGTCTTGTTATGTTACGGTGATGTACAATAAATAGTGTTGCTCCCAAGATAACGTCTGCGACTCCTCTTCTTTGGTTCTTTCGGTAAAGTCACGTAGAATGAGAATAAAATAATAAATTGATAAAATAAAATAATAATATTCTCACGACGTTTCGGCCACAACACAAGCGGCCTTCATCAGGTGAAGGGGACGAGACTGTCTGGAGGACAGCGCTGGAGTGAGAAAGCCACGCTGAGATCACGACCTTTAAGCTGTGTGAGAAGAAACAAAGCGCCTTAGAGTCGCGGCATTCTACGTGACTTTACCGAAAGAACCAAAGAAGATGAATCCTTGCAGTCACGAAAGCTTTAAATCGAAAGTCTGCGACTCCGTTGGACTCACTACATACGTATAAGGAGCATATTGTATTAGGTATGCGTTGTGTAATTTGCTCAAAAGTGATTATACATATTAAACATCGCTCCCTACTGGGAGCTAATGCCCACTCGCAGGCTGATGCCGAGTCACCCTATGGGCTCAGGGCCGGCTGCCACTGGGGGTGCCCATTCCAAATGAGATACGATGTGATGCAAGTCGCTTATTGCGTGTGAAGAGCGATCTACGATACGCGAATCATTGCTTATGGGTACACGTATGAGCACAGTATGAGTTGAACGTGTCAATGTAGTGTTACATCGTTTTGTAAGCTATGCCACGCGCCTTGAGTGAAGGGGCGGGCTCTCTATAAATATCAAATCCATCGGCGAACTTCCCGCACCTCCGATGGGCACGGTTGGCCACGCACGGTGCGAAAGAAGTTCAACGCAGCCATGGCCAATCCACTGCTGGATGAAGGCCTCCCCCAGCCGCCTCCATCTCTCACGAGTGAATGTAGGCAACGCGCTAAGAACGAGGAACGTGCATCTGTAACCGAATGCGCAACATGTCCGTGTACATCACTCGCCACCGATTTCAGCCGTGGCAGGGAAACAGAACTTAACATCTCCGGGTCTACATTGCTGCGGTGCGCCAACCATTGCACCACCGCTCCCCCTCTCCGCTTGGACGTATTAATAATGCACGACGACGCTCGTGATTTGCACGTTAATTGAAGTCCGTATGACGAGGCTGCGGTACCTATTGCCCGTATCACCCGGAATTCGCCCGGCTTATGCAGATATCAGAAGCTAAGCAGGCGAGGCATTGGGCCTGGATAGCGCTCGGAAGAGCGACGGAGCACCACGCACCCAGAACATTGCTGGCTTCGTGCCTGCACGGACACGTTGGTGGGCAAGCCGTGGGCACTGGAGCCAACTCCAAGTTGTCACGCAGCGACTGCCGTCATACACGCTGCCACGAACTGCGCCAACGCGCCACCTTGGAACCTGCGTGGCACGAGTAGGGACCAAAGGGCTCGCGGCTCTCACCCGGCAGCGGGTGGGTGGGTGACGGGGGGGTTGACAGAGGCCGTCTCCGCCGTCGCCGCCTGGAGCGAGTCGTACAGTAACAAGGGAGGAGGGGGTTACGTGTCCCAAAACGACAGCAGCTGCTGCCGCCGCTGCTGCTGCTCCCACCCGCTGCCTCGTGAGGGGGCCACGTCAGCACACCGCGCAACCGCGGGGGCCTCTCCCACAACCAACACCTCCACCGCAGCCGCTCATAGGGGGGTACGGGGAGCGAGGGGGGTACGGGGGGAGCGAGGGGGGTTACGGGGGCAGCGAGGGGGCCGGGCCCCCGCCGCTCAGGATCCGTGACCGCGCCGAGTTTATCATCACCAAGTTCAACCCCGCAGCGCCGGGCAAGAAACATCAACGGCACCCCCCCACTCCTCCTCCTCCCCCGCATCCACAACTCCCAGCGCACACGAGCGCGGCCCGCCGCAACGCGCAGGCCCCACTAGCCCCTGGCCCCACTGACCCCACTAGCCCCTGGCCCCACTGCCCCCACTGGCCCGACGGCCCCGCGCGGCCGCGCCGCAGGTCAAGGAGCCGCCCGATGCGGGCGTTCGCCCTCGCGTCTTGTACACGGGGTGGGTGTGGGGAGTCGAACCCGGACGGGCGCCGCCGGCCCACCTCGCCCTCACCAGCGCGTTCTTGATGCCCGTCTTCGCCGCGCCGCCTCCGCCGCCCACCACGACGAGGCTGTCGGAGAGGACGGCGACGGCGTAGAGCGGAAAGGGCGCGCGGTGCAGCTCCGGGGGCGCCATGTTGGTTGGGGGGGGGTGAGGGGTGGGGGGCCGCGGGGTGACTGGACCGCAGCCCCTTGCCCAAGATGGCCGCGCGCTGTGACGTGTAGGGCGCCATGTTGGGTGAGGGTGGGAGCGTTTTCAGTTTCAGTTTATTTATTTTGGTATAGCCCTGTGAGCAATTCGACTCTTGAATCGGGTGCAACCGCAACAAACAAAAAAAAACACGAACAAGAAAACATCTTAAAGTGACTATGTGACTGTGCAAACAGAAAATCCATGAAAAAACAGCAAAATATTCCTGAAATAGCACAGTACACCAACGGTGTGTGCAAAAAATCCCAGTGGGATGCAAGTCAAACAGCAACAACAACCACAAAAACTTAGATTAAGGTCATCAGTCTAACTCCGTACTACAACAAAACAAACATGTCCAAACCAAAAAACTTTTCGAAATCACCAAAAAATAAAGACATAATTGCAACGTAACAGTGATCATAGGGACTGTGACCGAATTTTTTACAATAAACTACATAAATAACATGTAACACCAAATCCTAGAGCCATAGCTGGCTGCATGAGTTACTCCACAATAACAGAAGCATCAGTCGGAGTATCACATTTTTCAATGCATCTTTAAGATCAGCACGCTAAATCAAAATACAGATAATACTTTGCAGCGTCATCCGGAGCGAAACATTTTATTTTACGCCAATAAATAGCAGTGACAGCTAGGGGTGTACAACTCCTCTAGAGCAGTTTTGAGAGAAGATCTCATTGGTAGCGATTCAAGTTGCAGTTTATTGGCAATATCATTCCAGATCCTGGGGGCATCAATAGCAAAGGCCCTTCCTCCAGTTTTTGTACGGCAATAGGGAATGTGAAGCTGGTAAATGAGCGAAGACCTGAGGTCAAATTTGTTCTTTGAAACAGAGAGGAGATCCAGCAGGTAGTCTACGGATTTTTTTGTAAGTACATCGTGAATAAATAAGATCTGGTGCACAAGCCGTCGAACATTAGGAGATGTTAAGTTTGACTTAATGTGGAGATCACAGTGGTGAGTCCTATAGGAGCAGTTCAATGTAAATCTTAAGGCCGAGCGATAGATGGAATCAAGCTTCTTCAGTACAGTACTTGGGGCTGATTTATACAATGTCACAATAGTCAAGTCGAGGCAGTATGGTAGCTTTTATCAATTCCAAACGGACCATTGGGGGGAAGCAGTGCTTGTGTCGATACAGATAATCAATGGGGAAAAACCCTATTATTACATTTTGGTACTGGAAACGGAGGTCTAATGATGTAGATGCTCACCCCGAGCCCTCATTACTTTGATAGTGCATTGTCTTTGAGCTGTGTGACGCCTTTTGGCGTCATCTGATCGAGCACCAATTGGGTCGAGGCTCAAAAGAAAGCCGTCCCTTGGCGTGGACCAATCAGTTTCAAGGACAATGCATATATTATCATAGTATGTTTTTTGTTTGCATTTTGACTGCAGGTATTGTGGTTAATGCAGACATGAATCCTTGTTAAAAGGTTTCAGTTTTGTTGCCAGAAAATAGGGGAAAAACCCTATTATTACAGTACTGCTTATTATCAAGGCTACTGTAAATGTGATTCAGAGAGTCTAATGCAGCAGATGTGGTGCTGTATTTTTTTCGGAACCCAGATTCTTTTAGATGTAGTAGATTTTTGGTGGACAGGAAACTGCTAATTTGGTAGGTCAATAATTTTTTTTAAAATTTCATTAACGGGGACAAAATTGAGATCGGTCGGTAGTTATTTGTATCATCTTTATGGCCCCCTTTGTGAAGTGGACGGACATAGGAATGTTTCCATTCTAGATGAGCTGATGCTTCTTTGATGGACAGGTTGAAAATATGGGCTATAGGTTTGTATATTAGGTGACCAACAGTTAGTAGAGCAAAGACGGGAATACTATCTGCTCCGGTAGAGGAGGATCCTTTGAGGTAGGACAGTTGTTTCAGAACATTACTTTCGTGGATTGGCTGGAAACTAAATTCGTTTAATGTTTGGACAGGGGTGTAGGAATTTGCATGAGCAGGGGTGACTCCCAATACATTATCAAAAAGATTACCAGCTTCAGAAAAATGAAGGTTAAAATTGTCAACTATTTTTTTGGGATCTGAAAAATATTCCCCATTTCGGTTAAGCTCAACGGGCAGATTGTCTGTTTTGGATGCATTTTCGATACATTTGATTGTTTTCCTGAAAATCCTGGCATTTCCATGTGATTCCAGGAGAGTGGAGGAAAAGTAGGCATTTTTTGCATGCCGTATTTTTTTGACCCATCTATTCCTTAAAATCCTGTATTCTAGCTAGTCATTGACCAAATTACTTTTCTGAGCACATGCCCAAGCCTTGTCCCTAGTTTTCATGAGCTTTGTAATCAAAGGATCAAACCATGGTGGGCGGTTGCCTTTAGTTTTACATCTAACCAACGGAGCATGTTTGTTAAGAATTTGGAGAAACGTGTACCTGAAGGTCTCCCAAGCCGTAGTCAGGTTGGCAATATCACAGACCTTGTCAATATCCGAGTGAAGTACATCATTAGTAAATGCCTGAGTGCTGAAGTGTCTCATAAGAGTGCTTTGGGTCTGCCTGATGATCTCACCCCAAAAATGAAGGAGTAATCACGAAGGTTATTACCCAGAACACCAGTCAGTGTGAAATTGTGAGGGGCATTTGTGACTGTGCCGTAGCCCCTGCCCAAGATGGCCGCGCGGGGTCACACAGAGGTCGCCATGTTGGGTGAGGGTAGGAGAGATGAGGACCAACGCTTTACTCTCCACCACACATTATCTCTCGATTGACTGTGTAAGTATAAAACGATAGGATAACCTGAACTCTCAAGACTTGAAATGATTCTCAGTGTTTATTTCACTCGTAGCAATCGCCGACTCCTGGTTTCTATCAGTTTTAAAGCTGTCATGAACGCACCTGTGAAATGTAATTATTTGGTCTATTTTGTATTTCGCACAAACACTTATTATTAAAAAAATTCAAAGGTAATGACCACCCCAATGTTGGAGGCCCCAAATTACCAAGAATGTTTGTATCGGTGTAAGTTAGAAAATTAAACGTTTGACATTTCGGCCTTCCACATTCGGGAAAACAAAAACATCTAAAATTGTTTTAGAAAATCTGTTGCCATATTTTGATTCAATACCCTTCGAAACATACAGATACAACACTTTGTAGACCTAGGTAAATGTTTGATGATTGATGAGTGGGTGCTGAGTATTTTTTTACTTAAAACTTTCGTGACTGCAGGAATTCATATTATTTTGGTTCTTTCGGTAAAGTCACGTAGATAGAAAATAATAAAGTGAATAAAAAAATAATAGAAATAAAATAAAAACAAAAACCACGACGTTTCGATTGCAACACAAGCGGTCGTCATCAGGAAAAGGGGGGCTTAGCCTCTAAAGGCAAACTGTTTATAAAGGTTTAGAGATGGGCGTAACCCAAGTGTGTCAGCAGCATGGGCGGGGCAGCTTATGTTAATGTACCCAAGTGTGTCAGCAGCATGGGCGGGGCAGCTAATGTTAATGTAGCCCAAGTGTGTCAGCAGCATGGGCGGGGCAGCTAATGTTAATGTTGGAGGAAGCAACGCCAACGCAGTGGGTCTACACCAATCAAAGGGCCGCCAGGCAATCATTGGACCTCACTCCACACATCCACACCGCTGACGTGGGAGGTTGACAAGAAAACACAAATCAAGTCTGGACCCAAAGTGGTTGATAACATATTTCCAATGATTGCTGAGTTTATAACCATCTTCTCTGTTGAAATTGTGTCTGTATATATGGGTGGCTTCATAAACAAATGTTTGTTGATAACCAGTAAGCTTGCAAAGTACCATCGTCTTAGATAAATAAATTTCGTGTGAACCAGCTGCATTAAAATAATGATCAGCCACGGCAGAAGTATTGGTCCTACCGTGTTTCAAATCTGCCTTATGTTCACGAACACAGTCCGAGACATGTCGTTTAGTTTCCCCAATGTAACTGCTGCCACAGATACAGCTTAGTTTGTAGACGCTGGGATATTGCATGTCAGGAATTGTGTCCTTCACAGATGTGATCAGATCACGAATTTTATGAACTGTGTTAAATCGGACTTGGATCTTGTGTTCGTTCAAGATTTTGGAAATATTTTTGGTTACTCCTGCTATGTATGGCAAGGTGATGGTTTTGATTGGATCCTCAGATGGCTCCTTCCTCACGGTTGGGGTGATGGCTTTGCGGATTGTGTAGTCAGAATATCCATTCGCCTTGAGAGCTTGGTGTACGTGTTTGAGTTCACTGGTCAGGTGTTCATGGTCTAATGTTTTGATGAGGGAATTCTTTTGGGATGGATGGTCGTGGGAATCAGGTTTTAGTCAGGCGTCAGTATGGGTTACTTTCCTGTAGACAGAATGGCTTATTGAGCCATCTGGTCTCTTTTTGATTAAGACATCCAAGAAAGGGAGCATGCCATCCTTTTCCACCTCCATGGTGAATTTGATGGCTGGGTGTATGGAATTGATGTGGTTGAGGAATTGGTTCAGAGCTGGTCGGCCATGTGGCCAGATGACAAACGTGTCATCCATGTACCTCTTCCACAAGGGCGGGCGTAGAGTGGATGTCTGGATGGCGCCCGTCTCAAAATTTTCCATGAAAATATTGGCTACAGCCGAAGATAAGGGAGAACCCATTGGGGTGCCTTCAGTTTGTTTGTAGAATGTTCCATTCCAGGTGAAGTATGTATTGTTGAGGCAGTCTCACCAGAGCGTTTTGAGTTATCTGAATTGAAAAAGAGGGATGATATTGTCAGCCTCTCAGCCGACAAGAGCAATGCCACGGTCATCATGGACAAAACTGTGTACAATAACAAAATTGAGAACCTACTTATCGTATCTATCGTAAAGTCTCATCTAAATCAGTGGGGTTTTTTTACCTTTTCTGCAGCCTTGCACCCCTTTGGTTCTCAATCGTATTGTTTTATGTTAATACATATAGGGTTTAATGCAACAAAGTACTTACCTGCCCGTTCTTAACTTGTGTTTCGCTGATTTACATTTGAAAACAATTCTGGGATGTTTCGCACCCCCCAGGGGGTAAGAAACATCCCAGGTTAAGAGCAACTGTTCTAAATGAAGGCCAGGATGGGCACAACCAGTTTTTCCCCCCAATATAAATGATTTAGCTGTAATAAACGTGTGCCTAAGCTAACGTAAATGACTAAGCAATGTAACTGCATACACAACTAACGCCCTTCCATTCCAAAAA